ATGGTTAGGGTTAGGGTGAGCGCTAGTATTGTCCTTTTTTCATGTTAGGATTTATAGGAAAAGTAATTTGGGTTTTACGATTTTTTCTTTTACAAACTGTACGTACTATCATAATTTTTACACGTCCGTCCTAATTTACGTTTCTGTACCGTACTACTTTACTATATACTCACCAACAAGTACTATAATCAGTGGCATATAGTATATAGTTCTTGCAATCCTCAATTAAGCATTTCTACTTGAAAATTAGCAAATACAATAATTAAGTATATTAAGTCATGATTAAATATGAGTGCCACCAAGAGAAAACCAGTATTATTTACTAGATTAACCCTGACCAGAGACGTAATTAAATTTACTTAAATATTATATATTTTTTTAATCAGGATTGAGTCTGATTAATGTTAAATAATAAACTTGAAAGTCTATAGTCTAATTTTCTTTGGCATTACTCATATAGAATGTTTGTAACAAATAAATTTATAAAAAAGTATCTTTTAATGATTTAAAGTTTTGCTTATACCATAAACTTACTGTTTTTGGGCTTCAATACTATACGAATTAGAATCAAAATTTTAATTATTGCATTTTTGATCACATTCTGTTTTTTTAAAATATAATAACACTTCAGTGATCTAATAACGTGCTAATGCTTCTTAAAATTCAAACAAACTCATATCTGTATAATTAAATACCTTTTGCATTTAATAATGAGTCTTGATATTATAAAAAATTCTTCATATCCGTCAAACTCTATTATAGTTTATAAAGAAAAAAAAAATAATATTATCCAACGTAGTTTTTATTATGAAATTACTGAAGAAGGTGTATATTTAAATGCTTTACGATCAGCTTATACGTCTACTTCTAAAGGAAGACAATATAAAATTTCAGATCAATATGGTGTAAAAACTACTATAGGACGATACAAAAAAAAAAAACAATATATTGTTCTATAAAATATGAAAATAACAAACCTATTTTTCATATTTCTTATGGTGAAAATTTTGAACATAAAATAAGTTCTATCTCTTCAAGTTCGGTTGCCAATAAGTGGGAAAAGGTATAAGAAATTAAATTAATTTTTTTTAAGTTTACTATATATATTATCAATAAAATTTAACACATGTAGTATTTATAGATTATAAATCCAAATTCTAAAACAATGTGGTCAGGAATTTTAATATTTGGATTACAACTTGAATCTGTAATAAGAGCACGTAATGCAAAAAATAGAGAGTTAAAATCTATTGAAAACTGTGGCAATTCTACGATTCTTAAGCGAGCAAAAAATTTTGGAAATCAAGCTCTCGAATTATTAAAATCTGCATCACAAAATTATTATTCAAAAGAGGATTGTATTAGTATGAAAGCTATAGATTATTCTGTTAATAATTATAATTTTCATATTGATTTTGGAAAAGAAGATTTAATTAAGACAAAACAGCATCAATTATCTGTTGTTTAAGCATTGGATAAAACTCAAGTTTCATGAGAAGGTTATCGGCAAATAGCTGCAGTTAATTCTACAATTCCATATAAAGGTGCAATATCTAATGAACGTATATTACTAAATAAACAAATGGAAGCTAATATAAAAATTACACAAGTAAAACTTAATTACTTAGAAGTTGAAAAAGTTTCTATGGATACAGGTTTTGAATTTGGACAGGAAATGATTGACATAGCTAGAATTGGTGCACAACGTAGTATTAAAGATCTTCTTAATTATATTATTTCATATTTAGAACAAAATAATATTTTAAAGTGTACTGATCCGGTTGTTCATTTGCGGATTTTGGGTAATGGTCGAAATGTTGACCATAAGATTAAGCATACAATGGTTACATTTATGATCTTAAATGATATCGAACATCATCATAAATCAGATTTTCAATATATAGTAGTATTATATCTGGAGACTGAAAAATATGAAACATTAAAATTTGTTTTAAGTACTTTAATAGAGGATTTATGGTTTTTTAAAAAAAAAGAATTGCAAATAGGAACAACATGTTGGAACTTCGAGTTTTATTTTAGTGCAGATTTGAAATTTTTTTCAATTTGTCTTGGTTTAAATGCCGCCAATTCTACCTATTTTTGTCCTTGGTGTAATATCAATAAAAATTAGCATGAAAATACACAAGCAGATTGGAGAATTACTAAAACAATGGAACAGCTTAGATTAAATTGGAACAATATAAATGGCCACATTAGGGCTCCTCTGTTTGATATGATCCCACTTGAAAACTGGATTTGTGATGAGCTCCATGTTTTGCTTTGAATATATGATAGGCTTTGTGAGTTAATAATTGCAGAACTTAAGGCTCGTGGATTATATAATGATAAATCTCGAAAAATTATCGTTGATAAGATAAAAAGAATTAATGTAACTTTTCAGTTTTGGGAAAATCATGAATCTTATAATTGGAACTATACTTTGCTCATGGGCAAAAACAAATTAAAAGTTTTACAATCATTTAATTTTGGAGTTTTATTTCGTCCTAGTCGCACAACGCTTATTTGTTAATTATGGGATCAATTCTATTCTTTATATCAAGCATTTCGTAATCAAACAACAGATTCTCTTCAATTTAAAAAAGATGCGCTTTCTTGGTTAAATTTATTTTTAACACCTTCTCAAGGTATTTCAACTAATCCA